TCCACACATCAACAGAGATTTTAGCTGCCCTAAGTTAAAAGCACTTCAAGGCGAAAAAACCTTTTATCAACACAGTGTAGCATTGAAAAAAAACTGTTTTGTAAAGGTTACAATGATTTTCCCATTTGGCTGACTACTCAAACTTTGGCGAACTCTCCAGCCACGTAGTAGAACTTCCCAAATATGCTTGAGAAATTTCTGTTGAGATTAGGTTTACTTTGGTCATACCTTGTTCACTTTTGAACACATAATGATGTCTAAAAAGAGAACTGTATTGTGTCGATTGTATTTATTCATGTCTTATTAATACCTGTGCCTTCTTAGGTGGGCTGTAACGAATCGGCAGCGCCTTTTGGACCTGAACAGCAGTCTAGAATTCAAGTTACACCGCTTGTACTTTATCAGCCTGCTCAGTGGGGGAATCGGCAACCAAATGGAGGCCCTGCAGTACGCCAGGCACTTTCAGCCCTTCGCTTCTCAGCATCAGAGAGGTAGACAATAACCCCTAACCGAACCTAACTTCAAAGACTCTCTTTTAAGCGGAGTCCGTACAACTATTTGGGATATGACCAGAAGGAAAAAATTTTCTTGAGGCAAATACGTGATTAAATGAGGCCTACCTCACAATACTCATGTAATGTTCGTTTTGTTGTTTTCTACACCTGTACTTTTTTGTCCCTGCAGATATTCAGATTCTGATGGGCAGTCTTGTGTACCTGCGTCATGGCATAGAGAACTCTCCATACCGCGGCCTGCTGGAGACAAATCAGTGGGCTGAGATCTGTAACATCTTCACCAGGGATGCCTGCGCTTTACTGGGCCTCTCTGTAGAGTCTCCGCTCAGTGTTAGGTTAGAAAAACATGAACAACACAGAAAACGCTTTACATTTATATGAAAGTTGAGGTTAAAACACCCTTTATTTGAGCCTGTGTGCTTAAAAGATTTCAACTACAGTCGAAATTAATCAAACTGTCTGTTTCTCTGCAGTTTTGCATCAGGCTGTATGGCCTTGCCAGTGCTGATGAACATCAAGCAGGTGATAGAGCAGAGACAGTGCAGCGGAGTCTGGACGCACAAAGACGAGCTGCCTGTAAGTACCATTGAATTTCTCAATGTATTACTCCTTTTTTTAAATTTTTTTCCACCATTCCGTTGATTGACATCATGTTTGTTCTTGTAGATTGAAATTGACCTCGGGAAGAAGTGCTGGTACCACTCTGTGTTCGCCTGCCCGATCCTCAGGCAGCAGACCTCAGAGAGCAATCCCCCCATGAAGCTCATCTGTGGCCACGTCATCTCCAGAGATGCCCTCAACAAACTGACTAATGCTGGGAAGTAAGTTGGCAATACAGCCCGGTTGATTGATGGCAGGATAAGATTTTGTGTGAGGCAACGGCTAAAAAACCTGTGGTATTATCTTGGATCACAACATTTCATTCTTACATGCTCATTCGCTGGGAATTATTTTCAAGTAATAAACCTGATGTAATTTACACAAGCACAAAATTGCATTGTAATTAAGAGTTATATTAGACGGATAGCAAAAATTTATGTTTCTTGCATTGAAAAAATTGGGTTCAGGTGTGCGACTTCTCAAAATATGGATTTCGCAGTTTCTAGGAAGCAACACTTGTCAAAAAGCCAAGCAATCGTGTTTTGAACCTGCAGCACTGTGGTGAAATGATTGGAAACCAGTGGCTTCCTATAAATTAAGAAATCAATCCAAAAACTATGTTTATTCTAGAAGATGGCCAGCTATATAAAGTGTGCAAGATTTATAGTTAATCAGCCAAACAACCAATGTAGTCTGTTAAACTAACACAAACTGTAACAACCTGTTCATGCTCTCCTCGCCCTCCCCTGTCTTGTCCCCAGGTTGAAATGTCCGTACTGCCCCATGGAGCAGAATCCGTCACATGCCAAGCAGATCTACTTTTGATACCGCACACTCTCCTCATGAGTAAGGATGAAGTTCCCTGGAGCTCTTTGCATTTCCAGGACCATTTGCTCTGGCCCTCTTTCCTCTGTCCCTGGCCTTTTGGCCTGTTATTGTAAGCATTAAGGTTTTATCCCAGTGCTCCTCTGGACAGCCTTGGCCATCCTGTAACCCACCTCGGACCCTCCAACTTTGCGTAGTATACAGAGTCCAGCGGGGATGGTCCAACTACAACCTGTAGAAGAGTGAGGAGTCTGTCAGTAATGAGAACATCCTCACGAAGAAGCACCTCTGAAAAAGGATCATTCATTGAAACTCATTTGCAAATGCCTGCAGAGTTATAGGCTTATCTTTTTAAAGTATGTAATACTTTATAGTGTTTGTTTTCTCAGCTTTTTTGACAGTTTGAGTTGGATGACTGCTTCTTTTTTCTTTTCCTTTTTTTTTGACAGAAGCAGTTGAATGATAATGAATGGGTGAGTGTGGGTAAATGGTATAGATAGACAGTTTCTGATTTCTGGATGGTAATAAACTTCTATTATACACAACAAAAACCACAGAGTAACAAACAAATGTGTTGAAGGTTTATTATTTGCTGGTGAAGGGAACTGTGGAGGTCTATCTCGAATTGAACTCTTGATTGTGACCCCATTACTCCTCCATAATGTAATAAAGGCCTCACGTAGCTTGAAAGTCACTGTTGGCTGACGTATCCGTTTGATCAGTAGAACAATTAACTCATCAATGGTGGAACAGCTTTTCTTTTTTTTTTTTTTTTTTTTGTGACTGACTGCACCAGCAAGATTTCCCTCATTGTAGAAGCCATTTGTCTTGTTCTATGTATGTATCTAACAAACAATGACAAAAAGGAAACAAAAAATATATACTACTGTGAAATGTGCTTTGTTTCTATTTTTCATTGCAACCGCCACAACGGCTCATGTAAAATAGTAAATTAAACTGAACAGCAAAATGCATAATCAACACTACTGCGCAAACTTTCAGAACTAACGACTCGGCGGTTCTCGTCACGGTTGTGCCATCGCCTCACTCTGCCCCCTGCATTGTGTATCCTAATGCTTGCACGCCATGTGATTTGGAGATGTAAAGTGGTGTGATGGTAGCCGTATGGTCTGACTTGCAGTGGCTGTAGGCTTGTGATTCAGCTTTACTCGTCGTGGGTGGGGAAGTCCTCTGATCATTGTGGCTGTTGTTTAATATATACCTAGAAAAAAAAAAAAGCCTCTGCATAGGTTTTGCTTTTATTTGAGATTGAGTCAGAATAGATATCCATACATTTCCTCAGGGCTCATTATAACAGTTCATACCACACTTCCCAGTTAGTATTAAAGGTGTACATTTATATAAGGAACAAAGATTACACATATTTCCGCTATTGAGGCTGATAGTTTGGGTGTTGTTGGAGTTTGTATATATTATTCAGCTGGTGATTCAACTTGGGGAAAGCGTGTCACCGAGTACCGAGGCATTTGGATGTACCATAAAATATGTTTAGATGATCAATACTAATAGTGCAAGTTCCTGGTGTCCTCTTGAAAATGTGATGTCACCTCACACTCTAGTGAGGCTAATTTGTTCAGCAAGCACCGCACCAGCAAAGCTAACACTGACAATGCAACATTACACTCAGTTTTAAGTCAGAGTATAACATAAACATTTTTATCTTGGTTTCATTTGGAATGGGTTAAAGCACATATTTTGTGTGGACTTTCACTGAATTGCCTGTTTTTTTCTTTCTTTGGTTGACAATCATTCATTGCTTCTTCGAGTGTTCCTCCAGATAGACTGCTAGCGCTCCGTACCTTTGTCATATTAATTTTGTTGAATGTTTGCATTTCCTGCTTTTGTGTGTGCAACTTTTATTGTAAATATTTATCCTCTAACATGTTTCATATACTTGCATCTGAAATTAAAATAAAAATTTATACTCCACGTCAGCTTTGGAGGCGTGTACTGGCATGTGGTAGTGGACTGCTCCTACCATAGCTCACTGATCATTTTCCTCCATGATTTTAGAGCTGCTCAGCCCTCCTTTTATCACCACTTGGTGGAGCTATTTCTGTATTATTAGTACTCAAACCAAATAGCTTTAAAGTCTATTAGATCTCAAGCAAAGGTTTTAATTTGAGTTTCACAAGGAGGAACCATTTTTTCCCACATTAATTAGGCACTAATGATTAATAATCATGTTAATTCATCAGATAAACAGCACTGATGGTATTCAGCGCTGCAACCCTCCTACAGAGAGATAACATGTGAGGTAAGAATCTTTTCTCATCCCACTTCATTGAACCACTCCTGAGCTGTACAGTTATATTAAGCCCCAGTTTATATAATATTTTAAATGCCAAGGTAAGGGCATTGTGAGTCAGCCACAGCTCATAACTATTTAGATTACGACCTTGTGTAAAAAATAAAGCTGTGTTATGGACTTCATGTGCTGTTTCTCGCTTCAAGCTATTATATATATATATATATATATTCTCACTTATGCATACCTTTAAACAACATGGACTAAAAAAAAAAAAAGTCAAGTGTTAAACTGTAATCCCTGCCAAGGTATTTTTGGCACTCTGTTCTAGTTTGTACATTTGATGCTTTATTTTCTTGAGCAAACAAGGTTCCTCCTATGTTTCCATCTCAGCTGACCTCCCACCTCTCGGCCGTCCGTACCGCAGGAGATGGTATGTGAGGACCGGGTAGAGCAGGGAGGGCCCTGAGGGAGAGGCTGAGATAAGGATTGAAGGCTAAACCTCTAAAAGCCACATTAGTCCCAAAAGCCTCCACTGCTCTGTTCATTCTGTCATAAAGCTCCTGTCCTTGGGTTTTATTGGCACGCTCTGTGGAGATATTAACTCAGAGCAGGCAGCAGGCGTCTGAGCCCTCGGGTGAATGCCATCAGTTACACCTCCTAACATTTTGACAAGTGCTTTCTGGTAAGTTTAATTCCGGCAACTGCAGACAGACAAACCCTAATACAAAGACATTTTGCAAACTTGATTGACCCCAGAATGCCATTGGAGCAAGCACGAACTAACCAGCTTTCACACCACTTCATAAATGTTTATTATGAATCCAAAACAAACATATTTATACTGTACAGCTTTAATTCCAGTAAATAGACACGAGTCACAGTATGTTGAAAGGTCGATTAAGAGCTGGCTTTTGAATGTTCATATATTAATAAACAGTAAAAGAGAACAACTTCACCTAGGTCATGCATTTGATGTTATTGGCTGGGTATGTGCAACACATTGCACCAATAAGCAGGGCAGTCATGTTCAGCGTCCTTATTGATTGATTACTTTCACTGCAATCAAAAGATGTGGAAGTATGCCCATTTAAGACAACAGTGTGCTTGGAGTACAATGACAAAAGGCCAATAAAATCAAAATTACAATATGTACAAAATATATAGATCTCACCTGACAGGAGCTGGAAACTGAATGACAATTAAGTTCAACATTTCCAGTTTCTTAAGTAGCGGACAGTTTTCTTGTGTACCTTAGCAACAGATAGCTTTAATCCTTGATACTTAACCCAGAGATGAAGCTTTCCTCCCAGAGCCCAGCTGGACCCTTGAGTCCACATAACCTTCTGCACAGACTGAACAGGTGTTGAGATGTTAATGGGCCACACTAAATCCCTTTGAATCCTTTGGTTACTGTCAAGACATATACAGTAGTCCAAACTAAAAAGTAACTAACAAATAAACACAAAATAGTAGCATTTCAATTCACTCATTTACATTTTTTGTGGGTGGGGCAAAAATCTTAAGCGGGACAGTCTAAGTGTTTGGCTGTGTTTTTTATAGAACTGACAACTCTTCTGCCAAGGATAGATGAAGCACAGGCAGTGTTTCTGTTTAGCTACCCTCAGTATTAGTGTACCCTGTGGGAGGTTACTGGTCCAGTCATTACAGGATAAGGTCATTAAACAATCAACAAGAGTGCGTGGGCAGAGAATGGCAAATGGACAGGAACCTATGGAAGCCCATTTTTGCCAGGAAAATAAAAAATATAAGAGAACTATTGAGATAGTAAGTCAACATCTGACTATTATCACATCATCTTGTAATTCTTAACTTAGTTTTCTAAAATCTTGTCTTAGTAAGTAAAAATATTTACTTATTTCCTAGTTTGAACAAACCAAGTCTATTTATTTTCCATTTCCTGGTGGATGTGGGCTTCCATGGAAACCCGAGTTTGCATTGCAAATGTCACATTCAAATTTCAGATGATTCAATTCTCTCTATCCAAGGCAAACCAGAGGAAGGTCTGTCATCTGGTTTTTCACCTGCTCTCTCACTCCTCAGCTCTGACACTTCTCTTTCCAATGTCCCATTTCTGCTCCCTCCTCCTCCTGCTCCTCCTCCTTGCTCTCTGCCTGCCCTCAGCTGGTGTAGTTCCCTCTCCATCGCTTCATTGCGGTGGTACATCTCTAAGTAGCTGGCCTGCAGCTCCTTCTGATAGCGAATGACCTTGTCCTTTTCAGTCTGCCATGTCTGCCTTTCTTCCTCAAAAGACATGGCCTGGGCCTCGCTCTGGCGTCGCTCCAGCAGGAGCTCTGCACGCAGACGCTCCTCTGTAGAGCCCCCACACCCTCCTGTAAGGAAGAGGTTCACATGACTTCAACTACAGTCCAACACAGCCATAGGGAAATACAATAAAAGATGTTGGCTGCTTTTAAATGTGCAGAGAACTCTGCTCCTGACCTGGTTAGTCAAATGACCTGATTTTGGGTCCAAGCATGTAAACATCATAACTTAAAATAACCCAGACAAGCTCCTGCTGTATTGATAAGAAACCCAGTTTAGATGCCTCAGTTGCTGCTCAATTCAATTCAATTCAATTCAATTCAATTCAAAATACCCAATTTGAGGCAAGTGAGTGTGCAAACAGATGTATATGTAGACATTTCATTCACATACTTAAAAAAATGAATGTAGAAATACAAGTATGATGTTAGAAGCCATACACAAGGGTTAGGATAAGGTCAAAGGCCAAGTGCATTTATCAGGCTACACACAAGGTAAACTGTCCATTCCTGGTATGTATTAGGATGTTAAACAGACATCTGTGGCAGATAATTATCTTGCTCCCCCCCCCCCTCCATGCATGTCAGCTAGGCATGTGCTGGCTTAAGTAGGTTTGAAATACTTGCGTTGCAAGATTTTATGTTTTGTGTTATATTTAAGTGTTATGAGACTTACTTTGGGTTAAGTGCTGTGTCAACAAATGAACTTCATCTCTTATCTGTGCTTGTGGATCCTCAGCATAACTAAAATAAGGTGTATTCCTTTGAACCGTCAAAGCACATTAACTCAAACATTGCCAGTGACGATATGTACACATAACTAAGAGACAGATGCATAAAATTACCTGTTGCCCCAGCCGAAGCACCCTCTTCAGCTCCTTTTCCATCCTCATGTGCAGTCTGAGAGGGGCATCTGCGACGCTGTGTCCCCTGCAGGACTAGCTTTAGTGCATCTATCTGGCCTTCCTTGTTGCGTAGCTCTGTTCGGGTCTCCCTGAGCTGTGTCTTCAGCTGAAAGAGCTCACTCAGCTTCTGGGTCACTTCTGCCTGGGAGTCCCTCAGCTGCTGCTTCAGCAAGGAGATCTCCCCTGACTTCTGGCAAACCTGTGAGATTTAAGAATAATAAAATAAGGGACAGTGGCAGGAGAAACCTTTTTACAGACTCTACCGGCCTATTATTTTAAGAGGACAAACAAGGAAGGAATTCTGTTATCTCTACTGTCCCCTGTAATTACTACTCTTTAAGTGCTCCATAAAGCGTCCCTCCCCTGTCCTACCAAGGCCTTACCTCCCACTGCGTCTCCTCCAGAGTCGGACTGGTTCGCTTTGCCATGACTCCAGCCTCTTGGCTCCTTTCCTTTTTCAGACTGTCAAGCTCCTCTTGCAGTCGGCTCTTCTCCTGCTGGGCCTTGAACACCTGCAACTGCAGGCTGCGCTGGGAGTGCTGGGCATGCTGGGAAACCTGCCGCAGCTTGGCGGCATAAAGGCGTTTCAGCTCTTCCACCTCCTTCTCCCACAGACGCTGTTTCCCTTCAAACACCTGCATGCGGACAGCAGATGGGGTTATACTTCAAAAGAGAGGCAGATGGATATAAAGATTAATGGTGAAGAAAAGACAAATACAATGAGATTCACCTGAACGATGGCGCCCTCACTCTCATCCAGGTTTCTTTTCATCTGTTTTAGCTCATGTTCTTTCTCCACCAGGCGCTCCTCCAGATCCCGGACCTAGAAAAGACAACATGAATCACTTACCAATCTGTAAATCATACTGATCAGCTACTCATCCATCCATCTTCCAAGTACTCACCACTTCTTCAACAGACAGGGAGAGTGTCCATTCATAAGGAGGTGGAGCCTCCCCTCCATATGGAGCCAGACGGCTCAGTGTTGCCATGCTCCGACACGCCATCTCCCCTATGGCCACGCCCCCTGACCCTACAGCCTTGGGGCCCAATGAGGTGCGATCCAGGGAGCCGATGGTGTTGATTTGGCCCATAGATGCACTAAGGTACCAAAAGAAACCACAAAGACCGTTAAAATCTCTTCCATCATCACTGCCCACACACTCATTAAGTATAAAAAAAATCAATTATAGCAACAGTTCTTTTGAATAGAAAGCAGAGCTGAGACAATAATGCTGAGGCAGACCTGATGTGAGCCAGATGTGGGCGGAAGGGAGGCCGGTACGGCGGCAGGCTGCTCATGGAGTTATGGCCCGAGTCTGACAGGTTATCATCCTCCTGGCTCATCCCACGCACAGAGGAGAGCGCCTACAGAGTCATAATTATAGTTATTCATCAGCGTAACATTAATAGGCTAAGAAAAGATTAATTTTAGTCACAAATAATGGCTGAATAAAATGACAAATCATGAGTAGTTAATTACTTTGCTTCTGTAATTAATGTACAAAGACTAGATCCTGCATCCAAAAACTACTTCACTTGTTCCCATACCTCAATGTTCCACCAAGTTTAATTGAACTCCATGAAAATATTTTTAGGTATTCCGATCAAAACTTTGTGTTGTTGTTACCTTGTTACCACTGGATGCCTGTACTCCATGACGGGAGGGTGAGGAAGAGGAGGACGAGGTGGAGACAGCTTTAGGGACATGGGCGTAGGCTCTGTGCAGCCCGTTGGAAAGGCCATGATCCACATCCTCCGACTTAGAAGACGGATAGAGGTTTTGCATGGAGCTGAAATTTTTGGGGGTGACAGGCTTGAAGGCAGAAGACCTAAAACGAGCCTGGAGGAGAAGAGGTTTAGCGCACATTTAGAGGATGCAAAGATAGCAGAAAGTAGCTGTGCTAAAGGGGAGAGAAAGACCTTACTCATAGGAAAGAGGGTAGGCTATAGAACATAAATCACAATGTTTCTATTAAATCAATACTGTTCCACCCTCTGTGTTCCTAGCGTTGATCAATTCAAGCAAAAAAAGGTGAGATTTGATTGCTGCAATAAATTTAGAACACAGCAAGTGGCAGATTCTCAATCTATGCTGGTGAGCTGGAAGAGATTTAAGGTTGATTTATGCTTGATTTATGGGGTGTTGCATCACACTGCCAGGGATGTATAAATGTGATACTGATCAATTTAACAGAGCCCCAGCAGCCAGTCACAGGCTGTATATCATTTATTAAAAAGAACTCGATAGGGAAGTCATTATTGCATCTGTGATTGGTGAATGGGACTCAGTTCTTCTCATACCTGCTGCTTTAAAGGATAGTTTTATTTTAAAATGAAATAATTTTAAGATTTCTTTAATTCTACAAGTTATGTATTTACTCTTATAGTAATAGATTTCTAGGAGGCCATGCAATACACATACTTGTTTCTTGTCAGCTTCAGAAAATGAGATAGAAGCCAAATCATGACCTGTTATGTTGAAACAAGTTTTATAATTTCTTTGATAAAATATAAGATTGAAATCATCCAAAAATAAGTTAGAACTTTCTTGAATTGATCTTTTTTTAGGATTCTAAACGACAATATTCACCTTTTCATATTTGCCCCCACTTGGAAGTGAGTTCTTTGTCAAATCTACTTCGGTGCCGTCTTTGTGGTAGACCTTGGCGTATAAGTTGTCCTCCTCACGGGCACCAGTAGAGCTGAGGCCAGAGATAATGTCCTTCTTGCCGTCACTGCTTGGGTTTGCTTTAGGCTCTTTTCTGTTTGGAAGCACAGTAGGTCAACTATGGTCCTGCCACATTTTATGGTACCTTGCAGCACCTTCAAAGTTTCCGCATGTTAAATTTTCCATAAACGCATCTGCTTCCTTATGGCAGCACTCACCTGGTGATATTGAGGTAGTTGAGTAGCTCTCTTTGGGTGAAGCCTTTCTTCAGGAGGCCGTTGGTCTGTTTGGGTCTCACCTGGGGCACAGCGCGGCTGCCTTTAGACGGAGACACATCTGGCCTCTCCACCAGACTGCCTACACTTCCCATGCCGCAACGGGAGGAGAGGGGCTGGGCTGGGAAAGGGTTACGGAAGTTTTTGTTAGGGCCACGGGTCAGAGGAAGAGTCTGGACTGAGGTTGCCATTGGTTACAGGGCTCTGTGGGGGGATGAGGTGCTCTGTAAAGAAAGTAAAAAAAATGAGATGAGTGCTCAAAGGAAGGTGAAGTAGGTAGACCTTTATAGTTTATGTTAAATAAGATGACCAGGCTCTTGATGGAAACATATTATTATAGGCTTTCTGTTAAGATGTTTCCTGCTGTGATTTAAACACATTTAACATTTTAAATGCCAGGTACCTGTTCATTCTGGGCTTTTTAGGGCTGCAACTAACAATTATGTTCATTATCTATCATTTATTCAGTTAACTGATAGCCATTTATCTATAAAATGTCAGAAAATGGCAAATAACAAGCCCATTACAAGTTCTCCATGCCCTAGGTGACACCTTCAAATGTCGACCAACAGTCTAAAAGTCTAAAGAATCCAGAAAATATACACACTTGAGAGGCTGGAACCAGATAGATTTACCATCCTTAAAATAATCTGAAACCTCTGAAACCAAGAATGTTTTCACTCAATTTTAAACCAAGAATGTTTTCACTAAATTTTGTCCAATCCATCCAATAGTTTTTGAGATATTTTAGAAGTAGTGGACCGACTGACACTGCCATAAATAAAGACTTTTGTCTTTCCTCCTTTACTGAAATAAAATGCCCCTTTACTACCCTGAGCGGATGTTGGTCTCTGGAGGAAGACGGTTGAGCTCACAGTGGTTTCATCAGCTGTGTTTCTCTGCACAGACAGCTGTCTCAAAGCACAGCTAGAACAACTCAGTTTCCCACAGCATCACACATCACTACAAAACAAACACACAAACTGACCTCCATGACAACGCTTTTGTAGGAGAACAATGAATGTAAAATAATGTGTTTACAAAGAGGATAAATCCCAAACCAATTTGGAAATGTTTATTTCATGATGTCTGCCTCTCAGACGCTCATGTTATCCTTTCCCAACGGCAAATCAAAAGACTACAGGATCACGTGAAACATGTACTTTATTCTGAGGTCGGGCAGCATATGTCCCATCACAATCCTGTTATGTAACTCTGATTCAACTAGGTTACAACAGCATGGCTCATTTCCTTAAAAAAAAAAAGTGAAATAATCAGACAGAGATGCTCTGGTAATGATGCACATTATGGACAATTTAATCAAGCAGTGCAGCAGCTTATTCTGTTTGCAAATTTCCTGTCTCTCATGAAAATCATGTGTATCCAAATGTACAAATCAGTGTGCCTTCATAAGTCTAGCATGGCCTGAATACATTTTCAACAGATATTATGTCTGTGTGAGATTAGGTTTCCTGTCAGTCAGAGCAGGCTGCATTTTGTAGAGAACAGAAACAATACAATGATGAACATTTTTCTCTTGACTTTGACAAAACTAAACCAGTTGCCAAGTTACCCAAACACCTACCTAAGAGACACTATTGTTTTGCCAACTTTAGTTTGAGCCTCTTCAGCCCTACGCAGCAAATCCTCTCTCCACAACCTCCCCACCGCGTTTTGTCAAATCACCCACATATCCCCTCCCTTCCTTTCTTTTCAGACAACCTCATTAAGGATTACTATTGATTTCACCCTTTTTGACCCCCTCTCTTCCCATGCAAACACACCCCCAGCAGCCGTAAAACCTTCTTGAGACCATAAAACACACAAACACGCCGCAGTCTTTCTGATTATAAACAGGACCTGAGGGAGGCAAATTCTTCTTTTGTGCTCTGCAAGCTTATGTGGCACTCACAGAACAGGTAGAGTTTAAAAGGGCCATACTGGAAAATGTCCTTGTCTGTGAACTCTTCAATACTTAAAAAAAAACATTTCTTTACTTAAGAAGGAAACTATCAGTTAGTTCAGCGCAAAGAACCCTTCCTTGGCAAAGATATTTTATTGTTCTGTGGTAAACCTTTTCCTCCTTCGTGCATTCACGGACATCAGACATCTGATATTTCAGATATGACAGCCAAAAACCACTCGACTATGAAGGTATGTTATCACAAGATCCAACCTGAAAGATCACTATTGAGCAAACATGAATACTGTTAAAGAATCATGTGTATTTGGATATCTCTTTCATTAGAGATCTATGCTGTTTGGCAGGTGTCACTCAAGCCTGATATTTTAGACTGTCATTAAACATCCTGCTGGCTCCTGCATGGTTATAGAACAATAGCAGAACTTTGTGGAAAAACTGCTCACTACGAGGGACTGATCACCAAGCCAGTTTCAGGTCTCTGCAAGTTGTTTTTACAACAGTCACATGAATTGAACCAAGTGACTGAAGGAAGGAAATCCAGCATTGGAAACTTGTTTTTTGTTTTCATATGCACATTATGAACATGATTTGTTGGATGAAACATGCTAAAAACCCAGTATGGTGGTTCCTCTGAAGGCTCTGGCAGGTGCATCGCTACACGGGTGATCAAACCTGGGCTCATTCCAATTAATGACTGGGCCATCCTGCCATCTGACCGTCAGTTCTCAGTCCGTGCACTCCGTTGACACACACGCTACCTTAAAGCCATTTCTCTCTCTTGCTGTCACACTGATATATACTATGTATGAACACAGACACCTGCAGTGACACTCTGGCATCTCCTCTTGCTTCTAATACAATCCACATTTATCAAGTGCTTTGCTCCGCTGGCCTCGACAGTTATAACAATTATGCAAATGGTTAAAATAGGCAGAGAGAGCTGTGCAAAGGCAGCTCCAGCCCACTCCACTCAGGGCTCTCCGCCAGGCTGAGATCAAAGCAGCCCAAGCTGCTCATGTTTATATTCATGAGGTACTATTTCTCCCAATGTAAAACTTTCCACTAAAGCATCCGGCTCTTAATAAGCCAATATAATACAGGCTGAACTTAGGCTCAGGAAAAAAAAGCAGATAATCAATGATGATGAATATAGTCAAATAAAATGTGACACAACCCCTCCGACCAGGATGTCTTGCTTTTCCCGGGTCAGGGTAAGACATGATGGATATGAGTCAGTGCAGGTCATGCTGAGTGTGTATGTGTCTGACACCATATGAATAAATCATGAGTGCACCAAACCTAATGGCCACTGGCCAAGGTCTGACACTGTATTTTTAGGAACGGTATTTTACTCAGTTTGTGTATCTACCAAAGACATGAGAAGCCAATCGATGCTTGACGGGAAGCTGGGGTTGAGGTGCGGGTGGGTGGTTGAGGCACAGCAATTCCTTTTGGGTAGATAGGAGGGTAACAATCCTTTTAGGCTGCAACCACAAATCTTGCAGGACAGAAGAAATCTTGCATCCAGTTGTTTTCCATAATTGCCCTCTAGTTTATGAGCCCAAGCAAACCAGGAGACACAGCAAGATTTACAACCCAGCATCAACTAACCAAGGGCCTCTGAAATGCAACACACCTCCTTACACACACACACACACACACACACACACACACACACACACACACACACACGGATCAAAGCAGTGCTTCCTACCAGCCTTGTACAGTTAAGGTCTAATTGAAAAGTGCTCTGTTCTTGATTTATGCTTTTTTCAAACCACTGACGAGCTTCTTCAAATCAAAAGTTGCTAACTTTGATGAAACATAATAATGTTTAACATCAGTTTATCATAGTGCCTCTCTATCCTTTTGATACTGTACACTTACACCTGAATCTGCTGCACATGTTTCCGATGGCGTCCTTGCAAAAGTTTAAGGCTTTAAACTGGAACTTTCACAGATCTACTGGCTATATCTGACCAGCACACCTTGTTAGGCTGCTGGATGTAGCTGAGCATCAGTATAATTTCCTAATTGTACAGTTGATCTTGAAATAGGAGTTGGGTGATCCTGAATACTGCAATTCCCAAACTGAAAGAACTGATTAAATATTGTGATTTAATATTGTTTTACATACATGAAACCTGAGAACGCGTGTGTCTGACATCACTCCCTTCTGTGTTCATTCAGTATGCATCACAGGTCATGATAAAAATCACATTACTTTTGTCACTACTGTACAGTCCTAGTGATCTAGAGCAGTGCATACTAAAGAGGAAAGCTGTTAAGAAACATACTGCTGAGAGGTGTGGGTCTCTAAAGCCTTGCAGTGGGGCTTTACAGTGAAGGTTGAGTTTTCTCAGGATGATATCCTAACTCATCTAGAGAACCATACAACTGCCACTTCACTATAATCACAAAGAAAACAAAGCATGGAGCCTTCAAGAGGAGGGTTTCAAGGATGCGCTCTCCTAAAATATTGTAATCAGGTGTCCTGTGGGGAAAACAAAGCTTTCAATGGAATGCTTGAGCCTGAAAAGGGGACATTTCAAACCCTCGGAGACACACAGGTCAACACTGGGACGGGGAAAGAGGAGAGGAGAGAAGGACGAGGAAGGCAAATTCCAAGGATGCTTAGCAGAACACAAGCTCGGGCTCGTCAGTATTTGATGCACAAAACGCACTCCCACGGACGCTCACTCACACTTGTGTGTGCGCGGGTCACTCAACAAAGCCCCAAAAAAAGCATATGCATGGCTCGCAGCTCCAGATCCTCTGCCCTCTTCCCCCGGGCGCCTCTCTCTCCCCTGCTCCATGATCAAAGTTTGTTTACGTTTGTGGGGTAACTTTGCAGGTTACATCTAAAACTCCCACACAGCGCACACTCTGTTGCATTATATAAGCTCTATCAAAGCTGTGCTCGCTAGTTTTCACAGCTGTTGGTTGTGTAGAGCCATTACCAAATCAGCCACTCGTCTTATTTAATCTATTCTACAGAGAACTGCAGTATTATATTTAGCCTGACAAACAAATGGCAGGATATTATGGAGGTTTGTTGCAGTGCAAGACATTTGTCTGTGAATGTGCCTATTTAGAGCCAGTGTTTAGTTTGGGTTTGTCCCTTCTGGGCTACTGTAGACCCATAGTGGTTTAACATGGCAGTTTCCACGGAAGGCGGCCCACCATCTGTAGATATAAACAGCTCATTTTAAGATACCAAAAACATAATGATTCCTATATTTATGTGATTCTACACTAATGAAAACATAGCTATGAATATTATATATAATTTCTGCGAAT